TTGAACACAAATTAAACATTATTAATTATATATTTTTATTTACAAAAATAGACATATAAATAAATATGTATATATATGTTACAAATTTACAGCAACTTATAAATATATATATATATGTGTGTGTTTTTATACATTTTTCTTATTTAAATTATCGTTAATTAAACTATTACATATCCGTGCAAATGCACGGGTAATCCACTGGTAAATATACTAAAGGAGGAATGTTAAGTTATTGTTTAACCTGACTCATTTTATTGTTCTTTCTACAGCAGAATGCCGGTTTTGTCCTTTTTTCGTCCTCTTTCTTTGTTTGGAGTAGAGCCCTCACGTGTTGATTTCGCCGTTTTGCCCCGGCTCCTTTCTCCTTCCGTGGTCTCTTGCCTCAGTGTTTTTCGTCTTTTACACTCTCTTGTTATACCTATTACTAAAGGAGGTAGGAAAGTTACTGTACTAAGTACAGTGATTTTTTGATTTTGCCCCTGTTTCTTTCTGTTCAAGCATTTTTTATACCGTCTGTGTCCTTTTGAGTGTTTTTACTGTTTTACCCTCGGTTTTATTTTGTTTCTGTGTTTTTTTCTGGGCATTTTGGTCATTTGATTTGGTCCTCTTTCTTTTACCGTTTCCAATGTCTGACCTTTGCTATTCCTTTCCCTGGAGCTTTTTCTACTCTCACATTTTGTTCCTTTTTTTTTTTGCCACTGAAGCTTTTATGCTTCGTCTCTCTTTTTTGTTGGTGGTGGATTCTTACGGAAATGCTTACTGAGGCTTCTGGGCTTTTCTTTTCCCTCTTACGCTTTCTTTGATTGTTTGGCTTAAATCGAAGGTTCATCGTAGATGCTCTGGGTTTTTCTCTCTGTTTTTTTCTCTTTCTGCCTCTCGAGCGATTTTCTCTCCTCCGTCGTCCCCGATCCTTACCTCTGCACCACCATTACCGTCGCCGTCAGCCCTTCTTTGATCACAATCGAATGAGGCTCAATGACAAGGTTTTAATTTTCTTTCCTTTTTTCCATTTCATTTCTATGATTTCGTTCTTCGTGTTTTTGCTTTCCTTGGAAGAACAATTTTTTTTCTTCTCTGAATTCTTTGTTTGGAAAACCATAGAAAATTTTCACTACTCTTTCTCTCCACTTAGCAAAATAAGAACATAACTTTAAAAAAAATTACGTTTTTCTCTGTGTCTATGCTTTTGGTATAGTGTGATTAACGATTTGCTGAGGTTCATTTAGCTCGAGGTCCAAAGTACACGTGAAGATCTGGGCTGTCTTCTTCGCCTCCACTATTTCTGCTCAACTTTCAGTAAGTTGTTTTTCCTTTTTTTTAATAAAACTGTTAGTGGTGTGCTTTAATTTTTTTTTTTTTTTTAGTTTTCTGCATTTCAGGCATGCTTAATATTCTTTGTCCATATGTTCTTAATTTTTTGTTTCTTTGTTCCTTTGATTCTTTGCTGATAAATGTTGTTGTCATTAGGAATTTTGCACGGATTATTGTGGGTTTTCGATGATTTTTTTTTTTTCCGTTCCCTTTCTTCTTTCCCCTATTCTCTTCAGCCATTTTTTGTTTCTTCATTCCTTTGATTCTTTGCTGATCATTTTGTATTGTTGTCATTAGGAATTTTGCTATGGGTTATTATGGGTTTCCAACGGTTTCCCAACCCCTTTCCTTTCTTCTGTCCCCTATTCTCTTCGGCCATTGATCTGGAATTTACATGGGTTTCTTCTGTGTTCTTACCAAAGTGAATGTTCTGGAATGCATATTTTGTGTTATGTGCCTTTTTTCCCCTTCTTTTTGCCGAACCTCTGCTGTTTCTGATCTACTTTTTTGATTTGGGAATTGTTCGTAAATCAATTTTTTTTTGCATTTAATGGTTAGCTAATTTGTAGTGCTGATTTGTGATATCTATGATCTTGCTTTGTACTTTTGTCTTGATGATTCGTGGCTTTTCCGTTGTAGAGGCATTAAATGAGCTAGGGATTTTCCCTCTTTTACTGTCCGGAATATGCAGCATGTTGTCGATGTTTCTATCGGTTGATTATGCTTTGATTTTTTCCTTAATTTTTTTTCTCATACTTTTGTTACTTGCATTATTTTTTCTCTTTTTTTTTCCTTCCTCAGTATTTGTCCACCGACTTAATTGTATTATATGTGATGTTCTCATTGGTTATCTTAGTCTTTATATATGTGCAAAATACTATTGTCGTAGGTTAATTTATTGTTTGTCCTTTCTTCTCTTACACCTGACATCGTTCCCTTTCTACCTCTGTGTTGATCACTTACTACCTTTCTTTACCTTGCCCTATTTATTGCTCCATTGTCTTAGTTCTGTCTTTTTCCTTCCTTTTTGGTTGGCTGGCATTGGTTACTTAGGGCAGTGCTCACAATATCTCAGGTACTATTAATGATTTATGTCTGGATATTTTAATTGTTCTTTGTTAATGCTGAGTGTGCTGGTTTGTTCTATTGTTACCACTATGTGTCATTTCCTATAGTGCTTAGAAAAATTAATTCCTATTCATTGTCAATAAATCTTAATGATCTATAGTTGTCTTCTTTTGTGTTCTTAATTTATTTCACAATAGTATATATAGTGGTTTGTTTTTACATAACATATTTCTTATGTTTCATTGATTTTACTGTATGGCAATGCTTATTACAATTGTTTTATATCTGCTTACTTCTATTTGACATATTTAGAAATTGTTATAAATGTACTTCTTAGTCATGTGGATTCTGTCTTTGCATTCTGATTTTGTTCGTAGTTTTTTATTATAATTGTCTAAATATGCTCTTTTTTCCTTTTTTTTTACTTGGCATAACCTTTTTCAGATTTTGGCTATGCTATTTTATCTTCGCCTACTTATTGTGCAATCTTTTAAATTTTGTCTCTTCTGCGTGGATTTGGGTAGCTAATATTCTCTGTTTAAGGCAGTTTTGACACTGTTGCAGGTACTGTTCATGATTCTTCCTTATATTTCCTTAATATTTGCTGTTATTGGATATATTAGTTTCCTGTGCTGCTATTAGTTTTTACTGTTTGTTATGATGCTGGAAAAAACCTGTTTTTGTTGTTATGATTGCGTTCTCCTTTGTTTTGTTAGCATATAGTAATGATATATTGAATCTGTTTTCATCTGTTTTATAGTCACATATATATGAATGCAGTTATTTTTGCCTAGCATATTCTATCTTTATTTAGCTTTCGTAAGTGGCAATAATCATTATAATCAGTTTTGGTCTTTTTAATTCCATGTAATCTATGTAAAAATTACTGACAATAACTCTTTCCTGTTTGGATTTTAGTTTTCTGTATCTTCTTTAACCAGAATAGCCCAAATGTTCTTCTCCTTTTTTTTTCTTCCTTTCGTGTGTGGCAATGATGATCAAAAATAACTTTGGCCTCCTTAATTTTGATGAATCTGTCCAAAAATTGCCGTGAATAAGCCTTTTTTATTTGGGTTTTGATTTTGCTTATTCTCTTGACCAAAACAATTTAAATGCTTTTTTTTCTCTCCTTTAATCCAAATACATCGCATTTTCAATGCCTATTCCAATTAAATTCCAATTTCATCTATTCTTCTTTATTGGATTTTCCCATATTGCTTTTCTCATAATCTAATTTACCTCATTTTTAATAAACAAGTAACATGATTGTCACTCTTTTGGTCTCTACTATTTTTTTTTCAACATCATTTTGATCTTTTGGTATATGTGTTTTAAAATTTTGATTCAAAATCTTACTTTTTCCCGTGTCATCTTTTCCCTTGTTTCTTCTTCCTTTGTTTTATAAAAGCTCTTTGATCTTTGTCTTGCCTTACGATCTCCCAATGTGTTTTTCTTCTTTATGTTTCATTTTTCTCTCTGTTGTCAGCTTCAGCTTCTCTAATTATTTTATTATTTTGATCCAAGAAGAACCTGATCACTACTTTGGTATTTCAGCCCTCCCCCCAAAATAACAACATCAGCTCCAACACCAATCAACCTGCAAACACCAAATCCAAAAAAATTAGCCACAAGGTAAAATATATTCATTAACTTTTTAAACCTATATTTATCCATAACCTTTTAAACATATATTTATCCATAATCTTTTAAACATATATTTCAATAACCTTTTCTCATTTTCAGTTCTCGGTCAAAAGAAGCAGAACAGTTAAAAAAAAGTCAAAGGACTAAGTAACATAACTACTTTTAAATTAAGACATTTATAATATCCTCAAATACTAATACTTCTTCAAAATTTCCATTTTGCAGCTGAAAAAAGAAAGAAGACCACAACAAAAAATAGACATGACAGCTCAAATACACTGTATAATACTGTACTATAACAATCACATATCTATTGTATGGTACAAAGTTATGTAAACGTACAAACAAATTCATATAATGATGTGTAATTATACTATCACAAACACATATTTTTTATATAATACAAAATTATTATCCGACTATCACAACCAGAGATCTTTTATATACACAAAGTTATTATCCCTCGCAACGCGAGGGTACAAAACTAGTATATATCGAAAGAAGGGAAACAAATTTTGGTCATAACGGTGAATTAGTCGAACAAAAATTTACTTAAATTAATTTATTATTTATGTTATGCTATTATTATTATTATTATTTTGCTTGTGAAAATTATGCTATTATTTTGTAGCACAGTGGAAACACGATTTTTTAAATTGGAATAACGAAAGGTAAATTTAGCATGGACCCGTTTAGTTTACTGATTTAAATTTTTAATTTGAGTTGAGATGTAATTTTATGTAACAAAATTTTATTATAGTAAAAAAATTAAATGTGATTATTTCTAAAATTTATTTACTGTAACAAAACTCGAATAAGTGAAATAACTGTTAAAATACATTCAAAATAAATATATGATTTTTTTTTTTTTTTTTTTTTTTGCCTCCTTATCCCTTATAGTGGAGCAGTCCTTGTCTTAAGCGAGTACGTGCATCTACAAACTCACATTACATTATAAACGCTACCAAATTCATTGGGATTTGGATCACTGAGACCCAACAAAATGTGTGTATATAATAATCCATAGTTGGAAAAGAAAAAAAGAAAAAGTGACAGTCAGAAAGAGACTGGAAATCAGTAGGAGTATTAGTGAAAATGAGGAGAAGGGCTAGTCAAGAAATGGCTGCAATGATGATTCCTAATTTGCTGATATTATTCTCAGTTGTGACTTCATCAATGGTGATGAGAGTTTCTGGTTTCACAACAACAACAACAACAAGGATCATGGAACTTCATCATGATGTTGAAGAGCAGCAGAATCAGTACAGGAGAAACTTGCTTGCTAATGGTCTTGGCTCGACTCCTCCTATGGGGTAAGATAATAATATGTCTCTCTTTTTCTTTTTAGGTTTCTTGCTTCTGGGGCGGTTTTTGGAGCGATTTGGCATGTTTATTTCACTGATTTAAGTTTTTAATTTCAATTTTGTTGTAGTTAAAAATTCTCTCAAATCTAATTTTTTTGTTAAGTTAAAAGTTCTTTAATACGTCTTAATTCGAATTGGAAACTCAATTAACGAACTAAACGAGGCTTAATTATATTTTCTTCAATTCTGGATTTGGGTTTTTGAGATTTTAACTACTAGTTGTTGTCAGTGACAGAAATTTGGTCGAGAACTGTTTTGGCATGTACATAATTTGGTTTTCTTTTGTATAAATACGGTTTTTTTTTTTTTAAATACGGAAATTTTTTTTTTTTTTTTTTTTTTTTTTTTTTTTGCTTTGGTCGTTTTAAAATAACCTTAAAAAGTTGATGTTGTCGCCATTTCAATCCATAATGGTCACTGTCTGTCTGATAGAACACTGTTTATGGAATTGCCAAGAGATGATTTTTGTTACAGTTTTTGACAAAATCTCATTGGTAAAGTAGTCTGATGTTGGTTGTTGCTGAAGAAGAAGTGACAAATTCATATTGGAAAAAACACAAACCAACCACCCTTTTGCTTTTTTATTATGGTCTATCTTTAATTGGGTTCATCAGCTATTTATTATGCTTGGACTTGGAAAGAATTTTCTTTGTGTATCATTAACTTTTTTTTTTTTTTTTTTTCTCTATCAGAAGAAACAATAAAAAATCCTTTTATTTCTCCATCTTATCCTTTTTTTTAATCCCCTTGTTTTTCTTTCCCCAATTCGGAGCATATCTTCATTTCAAAACCCCCCTGATTGTTTGTTTGTTTATTTATTTTCGTGGATAGGTGGAGTAGTTGGAATCATTTCGCCTGCAAAATTGATGAGAAAATGATCAAAGAAACAGGTAAGTTGTAATTTTATGCATTGAAACGTGCTGTCAAAGAGCCAAAGCTATGTTAATATTGGTTTGGTCTTTTACAGCTGATGCTTTGGTTTCCACCGGCCTTTCGAAACTTGGATATACCTATGTTAATATTGGTATGTTCCCTTGTTCTTTTTCTTTAACTTTTCACTCCCTTAATTTTATAAATTATGTAGCTGACAAAACATCTTTCTCTACATTTAGATGATTGCTGGGCTGAATTAGCGCGCGACAGCAAGGTAATAACTTCAAGCTATAAAACAATTCAGTTGAGAGAATGATTCAATAGTGATGGACTAAAAAGAGGATTTCATTTTCAGGGTTCTCTAGTGCCTAAGAAGTCAACATTTCCTTCTGGAATTAAAGCTCTTGCAGACTATGTTCACAGCAAAGGTCTTAAGTTGGGAATTTATTCAGATGCTGGGTAACATGACTTACAACATTTATATATCTATTCCCACATGGTAATTCTTTTTCTCGTCCTAAATGCGGACAAATGATGAATTCATACCTTACTTTGCAGGTATTTTACTTGTAGCAAACAAATGCCAGGTTCACTTGGTCATGAGGAACATGATGCCAAAACATTTGCTTCATGGGTGTGAATTCTTGCGATAACTTTATCTCGATTTGAAAGTACAAATTTTTGTTTGTAGTCCTGATTTTGTTTATGTCTTCGCAGGGAATTGATTATTTGAAGTATGATAACTGTTTTAATGATGGATCAAAGCCAACTGTTAGGTAACAAGTAATCTCTACTATAGTATACTTTTTCTTAGTTTTTTTTGTTTGCAAATAATTTTTTCCTAATTGTCTTGTTCATTTAGGTATCCTGTAATGACCCGAGCTCTAATGAAGGCTGGCCGTCCCATCTTCTTCTCCCTATGCGAATGGTAATCACAGTTATAAACAGTTATTGAATTTATAAATTGTCTTTTGTGGTTTGTGGTCTTTTTAATTGCGTAATTAGACTTAGTCTTCTTTCTTCTTTTTCAGGGGAGACTTGCATCCTGCTCTATGGGGTGCTAAGTTGGGAAATAGCTGGAGAACTACTAATGACATTACCGATACATGGGAAAGGTAGAATTTTAAGCTTTCTCCCCAATGTCTCTGTTCATCACTTGAAGTTTGTCCCAAATAATTCCTTTTCCCATTTCCCTTTGGCAGTATGATCTCTAGAGCGGATATGAATGAAGTATACGCAGAGTATGCAAGGCCTGGCGGTTGGAATGGTCTTTATCCATTGTCGTAGAACAAAGTTGTTTTGCAAAAAGAGTTGAAATCTGTGTGACCCGTGTCATTGATATTCTTCTAAGATTTTTCTTTTATTTGTCATCGAGTTTTAACAGATCCTGACATGCTTGAAGTGGGAAATGGAGGGATGACAAAAGACGAATACATAGTCCATTTCAGCATATGGGCGATTTCCAAGGTATTTTAGACCTTTTATCTTCTACTTGATAGTTCTTTTTCATTTGAGTCCAATATATTGTTTTTTTTTTTTTTTTGGTCATCCATTAACAAGTAAATTGGTCTCATCCATTAACATGTAAATTGATCTTCCAGGCTCCCCTTATTCTTGGTTGTGATGTGAGGAATCTGACAAAAGACACAAAGGACATTATTGCCAACAAAGAGGTCATTGATGTTAACCAAGGTATTTTAAGCGACAACCTTCTTTTTTTCTGTTGATTTTGCTCTAGTCTGCAGAAAAAGGAAGATAATTGACATTTTCTTTATTAATACATCAGATCCACTTGGGGTCCAAGCGAAAAAGGTTAGAATGGAAGGAGATATCGAGGTAAAACTATTCCAAAATTCTCTTGGAAATTTTAAATTTGAGTGTCATTTTGTTAGGAGGTTGCATGAGAATCATTGCTCTTATGTGCTTCCAACAGATTTGGGCAGGGCCTCTCTCTGGATACAGGGTAGTTGTAGTTCTACTCAATCGAGGCCCTTGGCGTTATACGATTACAGCCAACTGGGATGACATTGGAATCCCACTAGAAACTGTTGTTGAAGCAAGAGATCTTTGGGAGGTAGATATAAGATTATAATCATTTATTTAAATAATCCTCAAATCTTTTGAAGGAATCTTATAACAATTAAATATATTTGTTTCTTGCAGCACAAGACACTGAAAAACCGATTTGTTGGAAACATAACAGCTACAGTGAACCCACATGCCTGCAAAATGTACGTGTTGAAGCCAATTTCGTGAGATTGCCACAAGTACAGCTTCTCCTCAACTAAATTAATGTCTGATCAGCATCTGATCTCATAGTTTTAAGACTCAGATTTGTCTGCTTGACAATGCTGCAAAACATGAGTTGAATAAAAAAGTTGAGGAAAGCTATGCTTCTTGTTTCTTTATTGTGTGCTTATTGTTTCTTGTTCGCCGTTTTCTACGCTAGGGTATCGCTACTGATACTGCATTTCCAAGTGTTAGATTCGGTAAAACTCACATCAAAATGAATATAGATCTGACAGTTAAAAACAGAACCGTAACGGTAGGAATTAGAATTCTCTTTCTTGCTATGAAGGAAGAAGTATTAGGTAGGAATTGGTATTGCTGCAGGTGATGTTAACTAACAAACAAACATCATACACAAAAGAGAAGAAGAGAGAACATAAAGAAGCTTCTTTGAAAGACACTCTTAAAGCAAGAAAAGGTTAAAACCTTTTTCTTTGTGGAGGAGCAAATATATCTTCCCTGTTGATACAAGTTACACTGAAGCATCTTTGTACAACAAATTAAAACGTTTGTTTTCTGATCCAAAAACTTATCTTCTAGGATATAGATATAATCAACAAAGTTTAGTTCAATTATTTAGGGTGCGTTTGGAATTCGTTTTAAAATAATTTTATTTTTTGTATGAAAATGAAAATGAAAACGTTTTCAATTTCAGACAGAAATCATTTTTGAAAATGCGTTTGGTAGTTTTATTAAGAGATTATTTTCAGTATAAAAAAAACCTATTAATAGCTCTCTCTTTCTCTTTGCTCAAGAGAGGAGAAAATGAAAGTAAAAAATAAAAAATGATTAAAAGTCGTTTTTCATTTTTCTCTCATTTTACACTAAATTAAAAAATTATTTTCATTTCTTTTTTTGTCTTTATTACGCCAAACGTTATTTTAAAAACGTTTTTATTTTTTCTTTCTCGAAAAATGTGAAAAAAAACGAGATTAATTCCAAACACGACCTTGTATTAGAAATTTTTGAAAATTCCTTTTGTGTAAATCACGTTCGTAGTTACCAATTTTTGAAAGTGATTTGATTTACGAGAATCAAAACATTACAGGCTTTGGAAGTGTGAGAAAATATATTAATGAAGTTTTGACTCCCCATTTCTGTGGTTTCATTGTTTTTAAGTACATAGAAGAGAATTTTATTTTTATTTTTTTGCTTGGAACATATAAGAGAATTTAGTAAATGATAAATTTAAAAAAAAAGTCAAAATAGACAAAAATAAAAATAAACATCAAGAAACAAACAACCAAAATAGAAGGAAATTAAACCATAGGCAAACCATTATTCAAAAGAATAACTGGAAGCAAGCCTAGATTTTCGCCTTGGAGAAATTTTGTAGCCCACATTTTAACCGCTCATGTGTTTTTCTAGTCCCGTTGATGTTTGTTGGGTGGAATGTTGCCCAAGATTTTATCAGTTTATTTATACAAGCTAATTTAGCTTCTATTGAATAAAAGCAAGGTTTCACTTTAAATATACATAATGTTATCGGGTTCGGGCGGAATATTTTGTTATTTAGAGCTCGTTTAGTTCGTTCATTTAAATTTTTAATTTAAGTTAAAATATGTCTTTATGTGAGAATTTTTTACTGTATTAAAAAAAATTAAATGTGAATATTTTTAAAAATTTTTTATTATAATAAAATTTAAATCGATAAAAGAAATATGACCCACACGCAGGCTCAAACATCGGTCAATGCATGCATAGATGGCAAGGCCGGCGCTGACTCGAAAAAACACTTGGGAAAATGTAAGAAACGTGCCAAATGTGATTTTGTTGGCAGTTTTATGCAGACAGATGAAGACATCTATCGTGTATTAATGAGCCTCATGCTTATGCAAATACATATGATATCCTTGCGCAATTGACACGTGCATTACTAGAACAAGATCCAACGCTAAGAACGTTTGCGAATTGGTTAAAGATGTGATGAGCGGCAGAGCCCTTGAAAATGAGCGGTGACAGTCGCTCCTATTTAATTTTTTTTTTAAATATTATCTTTAAAAATTTAAAAATTTTATATTTAAATTTTTATTGAAATAATATATGTTCTTATTAAAATAAATAATTTTTTATGTCTTTATTAAAATAATTTATTAAAAAAAAATTTAATGTACGTTTTCACTAAAGTGAAAGATTAACTCCGGTACTGAAAATATTATAATCTATGTGTATGTAATATTAATGACATGATGAATGATGTGGACGATACGTTTGACTAGAACAAGATCCAGCGCTAGTTTGCCAATCAGTTAAAGATATCGCCTTGAGATGATATACAAATGCATGACTTATTATAATGTACGAAAGTAAAAGAAAAAATAAGAGAAGTAATATTGCAAACGGAAGTTATACAAGCAGTGGAAGGTAGGAAAGCTCTAAATTCCTAATAAAGATTTGTGGAGAGAATTATGGGAGTGAAATGTTAGCTGAAATAATGGATAATACAAAGAAGAACAACAATTATAGAAAGAACAAAAATGAAATTGTACAATGCTAATTCAACCTTTATACCAAACTCGGAAATGAAAGTTGCAAGGATGTCGAGGCACGTGAACCATGTTGTTCTTAAAACAGATTCGTTCTCTCCGGTGAGTGCTTGAGGCAAACGTTGGACGTCCGTCTCCCAGGATACAACGACAACGACGGTAGCTCGATGTACTATCGGAACCGTCCGGCGAACTAGAACATGATCTTCCCTCTATCACCAAAACGAACAACAAAAATAGAAAGCAGAAAGGACTCGGGAAGAAAAAGAACCGAGAGTGAGAGGAAGAATTCAGAAATGAGTGCCTCTTCTTCACGTGGAAGACGCCTTTTATAGGCTTTGGAGAATAGGTTATGAAACCAGGAAATAAAAGGTCTTAATCACCCATTTTAATTGTGCAAAAATGTTTCCTGAACCAGGCCACAATTCACATCTAGGTTCATAGAAAAACTGGTTCAATAACCAGCCATTAAAAACACAATTACACTCGGCATTACGCATCCATTAAGCCTTCTTTAATCTCCATTAAGCTCCAAACGGTTTTACCTGAATCTGGAAGGTTTTAGGCCGAGTAAAAAATAAAAATTGCAAAAATAAGCTCGCACAGAGTAGGTTTTTCGGTCTGGCATTCGTGTCCACAAGCACACACATTAGGCGCACCATCCCTGTGCGTGAGAGAGCCTCTTTGGTATGCATACTTACCTAAACTTCAAAGTGCAATCACTTATAAACACCACATTGGCTTCACTCCTAGCCAATGTGGGATTTTTTATAATTTTCTTTTACATTTACCATTCCAAGTAACATACTTAGACTATCAATTTCTCATTCACCCAAAATCCAGTTTGAGTGTATGAATACTCGATTTTAATCTCCTCACGACGGAGAATGCAAATCCATCGAGACCCGTCCTAAAAATCTATTGGGCCCCATCTGAATATGGGCCTCAAAATGGGCCTGAAAAATGGCTTAACAAGCCTTTTTTTTTTTTTTTCTAACAATCCCCCACATGAATGAAAATTGACCAACGATAAGAAAAACACAAACTCGACACGGTGATAGAGTTCTGCGGTCGATGCCTGCAAAGGATAGGTAGGCATTACCCTTTGAACCTTCCCTTGTGAGAATATAAAAACTTTACTGGCTGACTAGTAGACGCGATGTCTTTGAAGTGTTCTGCCTTCGTGTAAACGTTATTATACTTCACACAAACATCTTCCTGACACAGTTCTGTTCTCATGGCTATGTTCATTTTGACCATAAATATCTACTTGGTTCTGCAAGAGTTTCTAAAGAATTGAGCCCCACAATTCTCCTTTGAAGCAGCCCCACTTCTCTCTCACATAGGTGATTTCTTAATGAAGAGTAACCCGTATTACTCCGCTCGTATTCCTGACGTATCCGACGCATAAAAATCATTAAAAACTAATGTTTAACCCCTTCTCGTACGGGTTCCATGGTCAACATATAAACACCACCTTGGCTTCACTCCTAGTCAATGTGGGATTTTTTGTAATTTTCTTCTACATTTACCATTCCAAGTAACATACTTAGACCATCAATTTCTCATTCACCCAAAATCCATTTTGAGTGTATGAATACTCGATTTTGATCTCCTCGTGACGGAGAACGCAAATCCATCGAGATCCGTCCCAAAAACCTATTGAGTCTCATCCGAATATGGGCCTCAAAATGGGCCTGAAAAACAAGCCATTTTTTCAGACATGAAAATGGCTATCTCCTAATTAATTAATAATTTTAATTACTAGAATATCTAACTTCTCCTTCTCTAGACTTTGGTCACTCTTTTACTCTCTCTAACACACGTTACTTTTTCTTTCTTGATGCAATGCAAGTTCGTTGCTCTCTTGTGTGTGTTCTTTTTATTTGTATTGAAAGGCTAGAGTAATGCTCTCAATGTTGCATGCCTTTTTGTTCTAAAGTGAATGCCCCCATCAAATGGTGTGAAGCCAAGATGTTTGGTTCATATATCAGAACCATGTGATTAAAATTATTTTCGATTTACGTGTATTTTTTATGAGAGAAAATACTGTAGCGAACTACGAACCATGATTCGAATCCCCCAACAAAATAACCTTGATTTACGTGTATTAGGCAATTGGCATAATATGAGAAATGGGTGGTTATAAACTAATGAAATGGATTGGGAAGAGATGAGAAATAGATAGCAACCAACGAAAAGAGTTGACCTTAGGCTAAGTTGATGATGTAATATCCATGATGTAAGCTAGTTAACGTTGGCAACATATAGCTAAATTAATGAGTTGGCAAAAGTTAGAAATGGAGAGTATGTTTCGCCATTGTTTTCTTATGGAGGACCGTGGACTGTAGACCAAGTAAATGGCATGAATAACTCCCAGTCTGAAAAGGCAGAAGACTACCAAAAATTGGACTATATATAGTTGTGATATATAACGGAAAATTTGATCAAACAAACATTAATACTCCTCACAAGGTGTGTGAGAAAATTTACAGTACTTAAGAGAGACGTGTAAAATGCAAAATGTTGAATATTAGTACCTATATGGACTTTTCTCGAATATCTATTAACTGGTCTTTACTCTTTATTATGCAGGTCTTTGTTAGTGCTGGAATAATGACGTATTATTATATGGAATTAATCTAC